AACCTCGAGAAAAAACCGAATTTCCCTGAATACGGCGAAAAATGCTGCAACGCAAAATCACGAACTGATCGACGGACTTTCTGGAAGTAGCTCATCAACTACCGAATGGGCAAACTGGTTTCCGACCGACCCGCCAAACTCGTGGCGTCATTAAATCTGCAGCAGACTTATCTTTTGGCAGGCTATTTCGGCGCAGAAAAGTCCATGGTCCCCGTAATAAATATGTATCGGTTTTCTATGGGAATTTTTCGTGAGCGGGAAACTCTAACGGAACGAGAGTGAAACTGCGCAAATCGTAACGGTCTCGCCGTGTTTTTCGGGCACGGCCTCGGACCGGCTCGGAACCGGCTCGGAACCGGCTCGGAAACGACGTGGACGCCGGGAAGGTCGAGTTTGATAACCGAAGGGTGTCGCCGAGCGACAGGAAACAGGAAAATTCCGAGGCGGATGAAGGCCCGAAAGAATGGCCAAGCGAATCGCGAATCGGAGCCGAGACACGATACGTCTGATACACGTCTGATACACGTCTGATACACGTCTGATACACGTCTGATACACGTCTGATACACGTCTGATACACGTCTGATACACGTCTGATACACGTCTGATACACGTCTGATACACGTCTGATACATTCCCGCAGGAAAAAAATGAATTTAAATGAGAAGAGCCGGCGTAAATGTGATTTTCGTTGGTGATGGGTGGCTGGCCTTGAGACCAGCTCGCATCCGCGACCTCATGAGCCGGCAAATCCGGATCTTTATTTCTCCCCCACCGACTTCCAGGAAGGCCAGAATCTCGTTTCCAGGAAGGACGCTTCCAGAAAAAGTGAGAGGTATAAAAAGGACGATCCCCCGATCGCACCCGTCATTTCCTCTCCGCTCGTTTTTCCCCCTGAGTGGAATCCAGCACCGAATTTTTCCGGAACGCAAGAAACTTCATCGGGCGACCGACCGACTTCGTTTCAGGTTTGCTTCGCTTCGTTTCGGGTTTGCTTCGCTTCGTTTCGGGTTTGCTTCGCTTCCAAATTTTCTTCCTTCTCTTAAATTTTCGAGTGATAATTTTTTTTCCATCACGATATATTTTATTATGTAAAAATAAGTTCCACGGGATTTAGCACGCTTGCTTGACTGCTAATAAAGAAAATGTTTTGATTAATTAATTTAATTAATTACTCCCCCGAATGAAGCATTCGATTGCAATTTTTTTTTGCCCCTCGATCTTCTCTTACGTTTCGCTTTCTCTTTTCTAGCTGCAGTCAAGAACCGACAGGGTCAAGGTCGTCGTTGGAAGAATTTGAAGATGAAATTCTCCCGCTTCTTGGCGATTGTCGTGAGTCGCACCTTCTTCGATTATGATAAATAAATAAATAAATAAATGAGTACAATGTGCGTGAAGGGATGTGGCATTTTGTCAGGTGAGTGCGCTGGTCCTGCAGATGATGCAATCGACGGCGGGTAATCCGATTCAGGCTGAATCCGCCGCCCTTCGAAGCGAGAGAGATGCGTGAGTCTGGCTATCAGCATTTCCTCGATGTATTAGATGTATTAGAAAATATATATTAATATATATTTTACATAGGATATAGTGGGACGTATATACTTTAAATAGTTATGCATGGTGATTTTTCTCGTAGTTTTCCACGAAATGGTTTTTCCACAGAATCAATAAAATATTTACCTATCGAAAGACCTTGCCGTTTTCTCGTACCACAGGTTGGCGCACGCCGGGCCGCACGCGGACGCGCTTCCGGACGCGGAGGCGGACGCGCTGTACGGCGAGCCGCCGGGTGGGAAGACCCGGAAGCACAATTTCTCCTGGAATTTCAGGAATCAAGGGGATTCCAGGGCGGAACGAGCCGGTCGATGAGATCGGCGATCTTTCGTTTGCGTCACTTTTTGTGCTTGAACGGTTTATCATATAAATGTCGTCTCACGCTCGTCTTGGGATTTTGGTGCAACGTATGCCTGGAAACGACATTCGATTCGTAGTCGGTGAATCCGGATCTGGACCGAGCGTCTCGGCGAACTGTCGCGGCTCGATCAGCGAAACGCCGCGCATGAAATACTCAGCGGAAAATCGCCAAACTTGTCGTGGCTCGAAAACTGCTTCGTAAATGCCTGGCTTGGAAATGTGACAGTCGAACCCGGGCGGGAGATCCGCGCGATCGTCGACCAGGGAGCGAGGAAAATATTCGAGGTTCATTTCTTCACGAGCCGGTTGCTCGTCGCCTCGGTCCTCGCCAACACACCCGGCGATGGAGATGCTCGGAGCGACACGCGACGACCGGGCCTTGCGTCTTGGTCGATCCTCACTTGGATTTCCCTGCTGACCTCCTTGTTCGACTGGGATTGATGGCATCTGGTCTGCCTCTCGCATCCCCGTGCGCTCGTCACGATTCTGACCTAACGAATCGGGGGGGGGGGAGGGGGGGAAATGTGGAGCGAACCGGTTAGAAGCCAAGACGACTGGTTTCTGACGCAAATGACGTCGACCACGATTCATCCGGAATTGATCCGTCTAAAAACAGGAAATATTCCTTGCACTATTCCTGAACGTTTACTTCCATAATAAAAGACAGGCATGTCGTCACGTCCTTCCGAAGAGCCAACCGCAGGGCAGACAAGGTTTTTTAAAAGGTAATTTTTTTTTCTCGAATTTTGCCTGCAGTGCCAAATACGTACGAATTGCATCGTGTGTTAAAACACAAGGAATTTTAATTTAGTTTTACCGAAGGCAAAACTGCCGATTTCTCAATCGGAATAAGGAGATTTTCCGAGCACGCTGAAGCCTGTCGGAACGAAATATATTATACTATTAAATACATGAACAAGATATATTAGAACTAGAACCAGATGGGTATCATTTAAGTGGATATTCACCAGCTGGGAAGTCCGCCTGGTTCCAAATCCACCAGCAGGGTGTGTACGTGGATTCCGACCAGGAGGAACATCCAGCTGGCTCGAAATTCATCCCCTATTCCCTTGTCATCCTGCAGTTGACTCCCGTGGATGCAAGAGGTCACTTTGAAGGTGCACTCCATATCGTCCGTGTATTTATGGAAGAACATTCTCATCCCGTGTGACATTGACGTCGTCGCGACACGAGTAATCACATTGTTCTGGCACCGAGCCGCCTGTAATATGGAATCTGGGAGGGCGTTTTGCGGCCGGAAAGACGTGGGATTGCTCTGCCCACACAACAAATAATAAAGGTGAATGTAAGGTGTGCGATGGTTGAAAAATGGGTGGACATGCACTTGGAGCCACACGCTCACCTGTGCGTGTTCATGCCCTCCCTAATAGGCCCACATAGCACTCTTAAGGGTGTGCAGGCTCTCCTTACCATCATGGGTGCATGTGGGCACCGTCGGGGTATGCATTAGTCTTTTCAACTGAAAGTTTGGAGTCATCCTCACCTGCTTTGCCCACCAACCTCGGTCATGCTCATCCCTGACGGATGAATGACCTCCTCAGGCTAATCCTAACCCCAGGGGGTGCTCGGGGGTGCAACTTCAAAAAACAGGGTCGGATTAAGGTTTCAGGACCCCGCCCCCCCAGGCAGAACACGCACCACCACCACCCCTTGGCCCAATCTAGGAAAGTAGGCAGTAATTGAAGATGAAGTCTTGTTTTCTCCTTAATTCGTTTTTGCATCATATCCAGAGCTTGGTTTAACCAAGGCTCCACTAGGCCCATGCATTTTTCGCCTATTCAATAATCTGATGAGCATGTTACCCTACCGTCCCTTCGCTTTCATTAGGCGAAGGCGCTAGATATTCATGTAAAGGTAAGGTTACCGTTACCGGTGTAAAATGGCATCTCAATCGCCAACCGAATGAGTCTCCTGTAAAGAAACTCAGCCACGCCTTTGGGATTTCTTGCATACAGTATCTGATTTTTCTCCTTCTTGTAGCAAAGAGGAATACATTGGAATCCCACGATATTACTATCTAAAGCCAGCCGATGGAGACGTGTGACAATATTGGCCCTAAGGAAGGAAGAAAGGGGATTCATGTCTCAAGACAAACCCACGACGCTTATTCCGGACGGGTTCGGAAGCGGACTCCTACCGAAGATCACAACACTTCCAGGAACCTCTTTCTTTGGTGTCAGTCTCCTTGTGTGGAGATAGGATCACACCGATGGAGGCACTAATTGGATACACGGGGAAACAGAAAGGACACATCTATTTCGGTTACTGTTACTTAGTGGTCAATACATAATTTGGCACATGAATACAAGTAAACAGGTTTTTCTGGAAATCTTGGAATACAACTATCACACAATACGTATCCAGCCAAACCAGCAATTTCATCGGAAACGTATCAGCTATGCAGCATTAGAGTTCGGAGTTAATTAGGGAATTACAGAAATAGTACAATATCTGTTCTCTAAAGGGGAAGTATTGCATTGGTCATGAAGGGTGAGAATGGGCCTTGAATGGGAGAGTTTGGAATACCTGAGGTAAGAATGGTGGGTGACCTTGAATGGAATTCCCGAGGAAATGTACCTAGGTATATATCGTCAAGGGGTGATGCTACAGGGCGTGTGCTGCCTATTAAAAAAAAAGCTATCTTTAAAAGAGGGGGTGGCATTTGTACCTGAGGATGGTTATGCAACCACCAAGGGTGCCGCACACCACGGTGAGCATTCTCATCCTCGTTTCATGGTGATCATGCTCACCCCTAGGGTGGTTCTCCAGTGACAAAGCATACACACCTTTAAGGGTACGGGACCTCACCTTTCATATTTGTTGTGCGGCTTCGTTATAGCATACAGAATTCTCGTATTTTCCCAGTTCAAGTTTTTACGAAAACTTTATAATTTTTTGTAAACTATGTAGTTCTTCCCCGTACCTGCCTAGTATATTTATTTATTTAACTTATTTATTGTAGATTCCTAATCACAAATGTAGCCACGTTGCGCTCCAGTCAAAGGACCAGAATTGATTCATTTTTGCCTTCAGTTAAAAATGGCTCTCTGTTGTAATCATACTATGGATCAATGTGGTATTTATTGCAATGTACATATTTGATCACATTGATATATCACACTATAGATTAGCTCCGAAGAGAGGGTTGCTCTTGACTGCTGAATCGCCGAACCCGGTCATGTCGATGGGGCTCATATCATCGTCCGAATACTCGGGGGGCGTCGGCGGGGGGTTCTTCATCGGGGGGCTCGGCGCCCTCCTCTTCTTTGGGCCTACACTTCCCTGCAGTTCTGGCTTGAAGGTGTAGCCCTTGAACTCCGGCTCTTCTTCCACTCCGATCAGCACCGAGTCTCCGCTGCTCTCGCTGGAAAACGCAAGAACGGGTTACACAAATTAATTTCAAATCGGGGCCTGCGAAGGGCATCTGAATCAAGTAATGCTGTTGATTTTTTTTCTCGAAATTTTTGGTGGATTCGTCTCTTGGAGTGAGGTTCTTGACTTAAACTTGTTTTTTTTTTTGCTTGTTAGCTATTTAGAGTGAAAATAAATGTGGGCTACTTCCCACTTTAGTTATTATGGTCCTGTCTTTCTGTTCGAAATAATCGGAAGCGTCTCGACATGCCTATCCGCCACCTTCAAAAGCTTCGATTTACAGACGAATTTATTTTTCGCAAAGGTAAGCAACGCACTGACCTATACAAAGTTGAAATGTTTGCCCCTAACCCCAAGGAACGACGGCAATAACAGAAATTTGGACGGGAAAACATCGTAAAATGCATGCTCTCGGCCCATTTTTAGGTATTAAATTTCAACATCTCAGTAAACAATGATACATTCATATCCGAGAGAAAATATATTCAAGCGTCTCTCAAAAAGAATTGTCTATCTAATCTACTAGGCTATCGGTGGTGATAATCGTCAGCATATAAAAGCCCAAAATCTCCCAAAAAGGCGGAAAGGCGGGCTACATTGTTCTTCATTGCCTTCTCGTCTGGTCCACGGAGTGGACTTCCTGTTTCCAGATTTCGTTTCACAATTGCAACAGAAGGAGATATATGAAGATGAATGCATATTTAGTGTTATTAGTTCGTTGACTGCGAGAGTCTGCACAGCGTTAAAAAAACTAAGCAATCACTTCAGTTAAGATTGTAAATTTATTAAAATCTCAATTTTAAGGTGCCTTGTCATTTTAGGCGTGAATGAGCCTGGAGAATTAGCATTAAATCTGCCTATGAAGTTCGTTCAAATGTTGAAATGTTGATATAATATAACATTAAAAAAAATTCGGTTCAGCGTTTGTAAAGATTATATGGAAAAGCATATACCTGATGTTGTCATTGAACTCGAGCCCTTCGACGTTGTAGACAGGGTTGGAGCCTTCGATTGCGTGAGTGTTTGTGTTCGGGACGGTAGCACCGAACTTGTTCAACCCGGAAGCCTGTGACCCGAATGTTGTCGCTGACAACGCCTTGATTTTACGCTTCATTCTGGTGCGGGAGAAAACACGGGGGGGGGGGGGGGGAGAAACAAATATATATACATGATGCACGCAACTTCGAGGACCCATTTATTTTAGAATGTTAAAAAAGGAGACGCTATGGGTCTGCCCTGCTGACGAAACCTCATCAGAAACTCGTATCTGGCCAGCCAATTCATTTTGTCCGGCTCGCGAAGTCCTCTTCAACATTTGTTAAGGGAAAAGTACTGCAAATTTCAGTCTGTTTTAAATATTAGAAGTTACATTTTAGCTGTGGCCCCAAATCATTCCTAATGGCTTCCGTTCGGCCTCCAGTCTAATCGAGTTTTACACCCTGTCCTAAAATAATTATTGGTAACTCGTAAGCCCCGAGAAGCCCATGACAGTTTCCGAAAATCAAAGAGGTCATCACGATGTATTCAATACATTCATGTATGACCCAAAAATAGATTTAATTTCCTCTAATTCTCGGATCCAGTAGAAATTGGAATTGCTTCTTACTAATAGCTGAATGCGCAAAATGACCCATTCGCCAGAGGATTTTTTCTTATAGAGAAGAATGTTTCTTTAAGGTATCAGTGACATGCATGTATTCTCTGTGAAAATTTTAATTATTTTATGCGCGTTGGTGCGTGCGAAACTTCTCCTATTCTCTTCCTGCTGGGATTAAAACGTTTCTTTTGCTCCTTACAATTATCTATCAGGGTTAGGACTTGATCTTGTTGCAGTTTCCCTGGCCTATGTTGAAACAAACCAGAAACTTCAGGAAGACCACGCTATGATTTATACACTTCAATGTTCCGGATGCGAACATCCTAGCCCTGGGACAGCTTTCTTGTGGGTCGTATTCATCCCCAAAAGCATTTGACATTGTCCCTAAATGACTTGACTATTGGGAAGGATAGCTGGATGTGGAGCTGAGGTAATCAAGTTTGTACAACGTTGTTTTCCATTCCTTGGCATCCGCGTTGCCAAGATAGGACCTACGTTTGTAAAATGTCAACGAAACGTGGATGTGCCAGTTTGGGGGCATGCGACCTGTAAATATAGGTGAGGTAGGAAGTATAGGTAAATATAGGTGAGGTAGGTAGTTACGTCCCTTACGAAAATGTCTTATAGGATTCCTATATATTCCTAAAGGAATATATAGGAATCCTATAGGAATCCTATAAGAACCTAAAGGAATCCTATAGGATCCTATATGCCCCATAGAGTTCAGTTTGGGACCCATAGAGTTCCCTATAGAACCTATAGAGTTTCCTATAGAACCTATAGAGTTTCCTATAGAACCTATAGATCCCCCTATAGAACCATAGGGTTCCCTATAGAACCTATAGGGTTCCCTATAGAACCAATAGGGTTCCCNGGTTGCTCTTGACTGCTGAATCGCCGAACCCGGTCATGTCGATGGGGCTCATATCATCGTCCGAATACTCGGGGGGCGTCGGCGGGGGGTTCTTCATCGGGGGGCTCGGCGCCCTCCTCTTCTTTGGACCTACACTTCCCTGCAGCTCTGGCTTGAAGGTGTAGCCCTTGAACTCCGGCTCTTCTTCCACTCCGATCAGCACCGAGTCTCCGCTGCTCTCGCTGGAAAACGCAAGCATGAGTTACACAAATGAATTTCAAATCACGAAGGACATCACGAAGACATCACATCATTCACTGCACGAAGGACATCAGAATCAAGTAATGCTGTTGACTTCTTTCACGAAATTTTGGTGGAGTCGTCCCTTGGAGTGAAGTTCTTGGCTTATACTTTAAAAAAAAAGTTATTTAGAATGAAAATAAGTGTGGGATACTTCCCTCTTTAGTTATTATGGTCCTGCTTTTCGGTTCGAAAAAATCGGAAGCGTCTCGACATGTCTATCAGCCACCTTCAAAAGCTTCGATTTGCAGACGGATTTTTTTTTGGAAAGGCAGGCTACGCATTGACCTATACACAGTTGAAATGTTTGCTCCTAACCCCAAAGAAAGACGGCAACAACAGAAACTTGGACGGGAGAACATTGTAAAATGCATTCTCTCGCTCCATTTTACGCATTAATTTCAACATCCCAGTAAACATTCATATCCGAGAGAAAAAATGTTCAAGCGTCTCTCAAAGAAATTTGCCTATCTAATTTACTAGGCTTTCGGTGGTGATAATTGTCGGCATATAAAAGCCCAAAATGTGGGGAGGAAAGGCGGACTACATTATTCTTCTTTGCCTTCTCGTTCTACTGTCTGGTCCACGGAGTGACTTCCTGTTTCCAGATTTCGTTTCATAATTGCAACAGGAGATAGATGAAGATGAATGCATATTTGCTGTTCATAGTTCGTTGACTGCGAGAGTCTACAAAGCGGAAAAAATACTAAGCAATCACTTCAGTTAAGATTGTAAAGTCGACCAAGCTCGTTCTAATCATCATGTTGATATAATATAACATTAAAAAAATTCGGGTCAGCGTTTGTAAATACTTTTATATGGAAAAGCATATACCTGATGTTGTCATTGAACTCGAGCCCTTCGACGTTGTAGACAGGGTTGGAGCCTTCGATTGCGTGAGTGTTTGTGTTCGGGACGGTAGCACCGAACTTGTTCAACCCAATAATTGTTCATGAAATTCCGAGAACTTTCTTTCCAATCAGATATATAGGTTTACTATAGGACATTTCCGTAAGGGGAAGTTTGATTCAGCACATGCTACGTAGGGCTTAGCAGTTTCCCGACCGCACTGAAGTGGTTCATGAAACTCGAAAAAGACCTACGTTCGGCCTAACGTTACACGTTCTCTGTTAAGTGGGCCATGAGAGACTGAAAAGTTCTGCGATCGGCCTAACGTTACACGTCCTCAACGAGGTGTCTCGAAGACGGGGGAATCATCCTTATCAGCCTAATTGGTCCGTAGACTGAGGATTGAGTTTCTTTTGAAGGAAAGAATGTAGGCCTATGCATAACCTTAGTGAGTTCTGTGAGTGATAAGGTAGGTGGGTGGGGGTTGAGGTTGAAGAAAGGTAAACCATTGAAATTGCTTTTACACATTCATAAATTGAGATCTTTGGTAAGATGATCTCATCGCAATAGCTCATAAACATTTTTAATACATGGCAAATGTTAAGCCCAGAGTTTCTTTCTGTTAATCAGAAAGCCTTATTAGCTAGATTTCACTAGACCTCTGTTCGAAAACTCCAAGAGGAACACATGAAGTTTTGTATTCAGCAGGGTGGAACTCCCACCCTTCTTAAATTCAGATGCCAGACCTTTTACACTCAAAGAGTTCCTTATTGATGTTGCAGGAAACCAGGTAGTTTTGCGTTTCCTCTTCCCTCATCTTGGAAGGACTTTCCTTTGCAGTCTTACTGGAAGTTCATTTGGTTTCAGAAACTGTATAATTCCAAAAATGTATTTTATGACAAAAACCTTGGCCATTAAGCATAATTTGAATTGAGATGCAAGCGATCACGACGCATTATGAAGTAGAACGGAGAATATTCGAGCTTCATTTCTCCATCCTAAGGAACTAGTTTATGTTTTACATGGTGGTTTTGGTAGAGACAAGTGAACAAAAGGGGAGATGGAAGAAGATAAACGAACTGCGAGAATTTGACAAAGTAGACGAAGGAAGCAGCAAGGAGAAGAACCAAGAGCACGGCTGATACGCCCACCAGGGCCCACACGAATATCTCCAATTCATTCTTCGGTTTGGAACCATCGTCACTTGACAGGGATGACAGGATCAGGTCCTCCTTTTGAAACTCAACCATTAGCTCGTTCGCCGTATCTGGATCCTCTAGAGCGCTGACGCAGGAGGAAACAGCAAGGAATCCGAGAAAGATAAATTTGAAATGCATTAAGATGCGTACCTGCAGTTCGTAATATGCACAGTGCAGCTATAGTTTGGTTTCCTGAACTTCATAATTAAGGTTTGCCATATGCTCAAGCGGATGTATTCATTGCTGCATGCGCCAGCGACAGTACTGTATATTATCTCACGAGCTCTAACCTTCGTTCATTTGGTTAGTTACGCTGGAGTGGATTTTCAGACGAAAAGTGGTGTGCTTCGAATTCCAGAAACATCAATAGCCCAAGATAGGTAATCTCTTAGAAGAGTCTGAAGGCGACAGGGCAAGAGTACAAATAGGAGCTCACCGAAGGATCTCGCTGCCGGGGACGACGGATGCTCGAACTGAAATTGAACTGTTAGCGCTATCATCATAGAGAAAATGGGTGAAGATGGACGTTTGCTTTTCCATGGTTTGACTGTCAGGTCCGACGGACGGCTTGGGCGCCCCGTCTATCACACAGATGTATCCCAATACGTTTTTGAACACTGTTGGGATCTGCAACGTATACAGGATGAACATTAAGAAAAGGATGTCTGCGCCCGCCTGGATACGAAATGAGTTGTAAAAAAGTAAGGACAGTCAGAACAGCTCTTTGAATACAGGGTGACAATAAAGTTTGGAACAACTTTTATTGCCATCTACCACCCAAAACGTTTACGCGAAAAAAATTAAACTTAAAGCATAGAGACTCGTAATGAATAAATGATACATGTTGTTTTCAATGTCGCCCCCTTAAGCTGCCACTACTGCCTTGAGGCGTTTGAGGAAGCTTTCAGCTGAGTTTCGGAGGTGTTCGGGAGGAATTTCATCCTATGCCTTGACCTAACCTTTCTTTAATCCAGCAATTGTTCAATGGGGCTTAGATCAGGCCTCGCCTATAACATCCCCCAGATGGCGAAGCCCATGGAGTTCAAGTCTGGGCTGCTGGAGGGCCACTCGTCTGGCTGGATGAAGTCTGAAAAATTCGCTTTGCACAACGCGACAGTTACTTCGGCCTTGTGGGATGTCGGGTGTCCTGCTGGAAGGTCCATTTATGGCCCCTAAAATGCTTCTCTGCCCGGGGTTGCAAGGCTTCCTGCAATTTTGGGGCCATGAATGGACCTTCCAGCAGGACTCCGCTACTTGTAGGCATATTCTGACACGATTCAAGCATACAGAAATAAATTTATTGGACAAACGGCATCAGCTTGTTCAAGTGGCATAAACGGTTCACGGAGGGGCGGGATTCAGTCGCTGACAACCCACGTCCTGGACAGCCCTAAACATCCCCATCACCGGGGAAGGTCGTCCTCGACCAGGACGTCGTTCTATCTTGGACGCTACCTACTGAGATTGACCGTACTCATGCCAGTTCCCGTAGAGTGATTCGCCGATTTTCAAGAAATACGTCATCGGCAACGGCGACCTCATCCAATGATGTAGATTTTGAGGGTCGTCCAGGACGTGTGAAGTTAACGACAGAGTCCCGCCCCTACGTAAACCACTTATGCCACTGGAGCACCGTTGTTCGTCCAAATTACTTTCCGAATGCATGAATCATGTCTGAAAGTCTGCAAGTGTTGACCAGGAAATGCAAAGATTGGGAGTGCGGCTTTCATAGCTTTCTTGGAAAATCCTTTCCCTCCGTTGCAATGCAGCAGACAGAATTACGGGTCTTTAAAGTACTTGATGTGGAAGAACCGGCCTTTCTGTTCGTAATATTAGTGTGAAAGTTAATAAATTTGGAAGAATTTCAATGGTTGCGCTCCCAATTTGAACGGGGGAATTTCTGGCGGGATTTTTTGGAAGTGTCGGACAAACCAGTCGATAAATTTCTCCACCTTAGGAGAGGAACAGGGATTGGGGATGAGAAAGGCGGTTCGATCAGGCCCACATCTTTCTCAACCTCTGAATTTCTGGGGAACTTATTTTTATTTGAAACGAGGCTGATGTATTAGTGGTTTACCGAGGCTTTCGAGCAGATGCCCTTCTCCTTTTCTTTGAGTTAGTGGGCTGTTGGACATTTTTGGGATAGTGTCAAACTCAATATGTACTAGGCAAAAGACGTTGCTCTCCTGATGCGGTTAAAGCAGCTGCACACGACCGTCCACACCCTTAAATGTCTAGGTAGGGAGAAGTGTGTTGGCTGAAGGCTTTTTCTGGTCACCTAATTATCTTCGTGAAGATGTTCATCTACCCCTTTCAAGTTATTTAGAAAAGTTGCGCCCCAAATAAAAGCGTTGAGCTTCGGCAAAATTGAAATTTCATTCATGACGTTCGGGACTCGTGTCCGCACAGGACTGCGGGGTTGGGTAGTTGTATATATCGACGCAAAAGTGCGTGCTTTTTTCTCTGCAAGAAAACAGAGCCACATGTTGCCATTGAACCAAAGGCGGATTGGGTTTGGCAGAACTCCGTTCCTAGAGACAGCAACATTCGCATTCAGAGAACTGTGTTGGATTAAGATGAAAGTGAGAACGAACCTCGAACGATGTTCTTGATAGGAAGAAAAACCAGAAAATCCAAGGGGGAATGAGTGAATGTTTGGTTAGAGTGTGACTTTTTTCCCCAGAGGAACGAGATTCTGCAAATTTATTCATCCTGAACGTGGAGTTTCAAAGGAATATATTTTGTGATATACGGATTTCTAATTACTTGCCTTCGATAGCTTCCATTCGGTCTATTCTAGGATAGTAAGGAAAAATATGAATTTTCCTTACCTGATTGAGTTTATCGGTTACCTCCTGGACGGTATTTTGAAATTGGAACTCGATGCGATCTGTCGTGCTGATCATACGAATTGTTACCTCCATTGTGCCATCCCCATCCAAATTTGCTACAAGAATGAAAAGCGAATGGAGAAAATCTGAGTAATCAAGAATAATATATCATCATACATATTTAAGTAACTATGAAAAGTAAAATGTGAATTCATGAAGGGAGTGAAAATATATTCAAACGAAAAATAACTTGAAAGCATCCTATAAAGATCTGAAGGAAATATTGATCAATATTTGTCAATGAGTGAATAGAGACTCACCGGGGTCTTTAGTGTCATTGACCATGAGAGTCAAGAGGAATTGACCTTTGTGAGACGTAGAGGGTTGAAAGTTCAGTATGAGTTCGCAGGTAGAACGATCTTGCGAGGTCGTGACCACGAAAGGCTCACCAATGCCGCTCAACGAGGTATCATCATTTGTGACAGGCCCCTCGATGCGGCAGTTATAGGTCGGATTGAGGTCCGGGTCATGCAACTAAGAGAGTGGATACATATATTAAGATGTATGGAATGAACATGGAGAAATGCTTAATATTATGAGGCAGTAGACCTCTTCATTCCTAGGTTCTGATGTTTAACAAAAAGCCATTCCACTACGAGGACCAATCAAAAAGTTCCAGGACCGTCGCTCACTATTCTAAAGGGTAAAAGCACAGGGTTTGTGGCTGCAAATACAGTAATTATATGATCTTAGGAAGTGAGACTCCTAAACTCGGCGGGATATGGTGATTGCCTTAGCGACCCCGACGTTTTCAAAGCACACATTGTGTTGGACCATTGTCATTCACTACAATGCCACAACTAGAGCAACATGTGGTAATCAAACGTTACACTAATGCTGCAAAGTATTTCAGAAGCCTGGAGGTTGTTGAGAACAGCCTACGGACAAGATGCCTCGAGCGAATCTCGTGTGTGCGAATGTCACAGACAATTTTGTGAAGGCAGTGAATCCATTGTAGATTACGAGAGGAGGGGCCGGCCATCCACCAGTCGCAATGAGGCTACTCTCAGGGCTCTTGGTAAACTTCTGCTCTGTGACTGTCGTCAATCCATCACTATCATGGCTGCGAGGTCGGGAATCTCTTATGGATCTTGTTAAGGAATCCTAACGAAAGAGTTGAATATGGACCGTGTAGCCGCACGGTTTGCTTCGACCTTCAACTTCGACCAATGATCAAAAGCAACATTGCCTTGATAGTTGCAAAGATCTAAAAGCAACAGCAGGAAGATAGTCTTGCAACGGGGAACAATCTGGCAACGAATCATCACATGGGATGAGACTTGGGTGTACCTGCTTGACTCCGATACGAAGGTTCTGAGTTCGGAGGGATAAAACTCCCTCGTCAGAATGCCCTAAGAAATGTGAACCGTCACGTCCAGTGGGATGTCGATGCTCTTTGTTTTTTTCGATACCCAGGGAATTGCCCACGACGAATTTGTTCCTCAAGAAGAAACTGTTAATGCTGTCTTCTACAGAGATGTTCTCTCTCTGCGCATCACTGCTTTCAGATGCAAGCGTTTATAACTCTTCAGACAGTGCACGTAGTTCCTCCAGCACGGAGGATATTGGAGGAGTTCTGTCACACAGCAATACTCGTCCGGAAATTCCTCACCTGTCGTAGAATAACTTTGCTACCATATCTACTTCATTCCCCCGACCTCGTATCTCGCGATTTCAAGTTGTCCCTGAGGATAAAGAGTCTACTGAAATATCGCCATTTCGGGGAGGCTAATGTCCTCCAGTCGGCTGCGACCAAGGCGCTAAAGGAGGTAGAAAACAATAGGTTCCAGGAGGTCTGCAACCGCTGGGAGAAGTGTATGGAGAGGGAAGGAGAGTAGCTTTGAACCAATATGCAGTCCTTGAAGTTGTTGATGGGTCCTCATATTTCTGACAAATGAATAGTATTCACTACAACTGAATGCCTTGCTTTCATCGCAACTAATGCCTAAGGAGCATTTAGACAGACAATATTGAGAATGAAGCAAAGAAGGCCCAATCTGACTCATTATTCTATTTGAACGATTAATCATTGACCAAAAAATAAATCTCCATTTTCCTCCAAACTCCACATTCACCACTGAAGGATAAGATTCAGTTCCTTTAATATCCAGGTGATGCGACTTTGAAAAGAGATGCAGATCTGCATGCACAAATGATGAACCTTTTTTGATGCGAGCTTTCCTCGACTGGTAGGTAGGCACATGCAGTGCGCAAAGGAAGACGAAATAAAGCTTTTTTTAAACATCAGTTGCATTTAATTGCTTATATTACGACGCTGAAGTTAATATTAACTATGAAAAACCTAAACGTCCATTTCTTAATGACATAATGGATACAGAAAGCATTTGTCAAAAATGTTTCATGGTCTCTCCAGATTCCTTGTGGAAAGCTATAGCCCTTTCACTTCCGGTTTGCAGTTGTCAACTTTGTTGTCAACATTTTCATGCAAGCCAGCGTGGGAAATTACGAGCACCTGGATTATGAGTAATAAGAACACTGTCTTGATTTCACAGAAACACTGCACTGACCTATCGACAGTGTTATATTTATTTTCTGTGCGACTTCAGGCGTGAAGGGATCACCCTATGCAACCGCTGGATATCCGATACAGACGTCCGGATATCCATTTGGCATACGCATGAAATATGCAATTGATATATTCATGAAATGCCTTCTGAAAGTTTACCGGATTTACCCCATACAATTACGTGGCTTGAAATTTGAATTTAGATAAATTTCCCTTAGTCAGATTAGTTCACCCCACGTACGAACAAGTTTGGGGACGTAAAGGTTAAAGCCAGACTCACGTAGGGTGTACTATTGCTTTCATGACTATAGTTCAGGAAGGGTCCGTGACTCATAATGATGCCGACATCCTCGTCTTCCACACAGTTAATACCTTAATTTTCAGCTACTCAGCATGTTTTTTAGATTTTCGAAGCACTAAGTAGGTTCGATTATTTTTCACACGTCCCTCAAAAAAATTGGGTCGTTTTGTGGAGTGGCCATATTCCCTCAATGTCTGGCCATATATCCCAAACAAAAAGGTAATATGGTCTCTTTTGGCTGATGACCTGGCTGAGGACGAAACTATTTAAAAAATGGACACAAGGGAACGTTGCATTGATTGATCTCATTGGTCCCTGAGGAAAAATGACACGTTCACAATATCCGTTTGTATAGAGAGTGCCTAGTTCGAACTGGCTTCTTGGTACTGTGATCCGTACCAGTTCGGTTTTTTTTTAAAGAAATATGTATGAGAATTTACTCCTAAAATGTATCACGGAATTTGCCAGCGGAAAATGTGGATGAACAATAGCGCAAGAAAATAATAATTGAATAGACAAAAATACGAAAAATACGAATACGAAATGAGAAAGACTCAAGAGACAGACGGGGAATTGTTTGATGACATCATTGGCATTGTTGTCCGAGGTCACAGAAGATGAATCTTGCTTCGATTCGAAATACGCCGGTTCGTCGTTGACATCAATGAACTGCAAATATATGAGATGAATTGCGATGAGTGAAACTGAAGGTGAGAAAAGAATCACATTGGAACAATTCACCCTTTGCGCATAGTCTTTTTCGTAACGGTATGGCAAACGGCGGATCTGATCCAACGGAAGAGGCAAAGAAGGCAAATGTTTAAAGTCTTTATTTCGATATTCAAGGCATTCTGCCATTGATCAGAATTCATCGCATCCAATTATATCATAATGTGATGCGTGATCTCCTCCAGCTTCTTCGGTAATGTCGCGAACATGATGTCATAAAATATATGAACAGAAAAAGGAAAAGGATGACCATGATTTTCCCCTCGGATATCACTGAATTTACGCTCTGCATAAAAATTATTTTACAAACACCCCTCTGAAACTCCATGTAAATTCATCATTCAAAGGGAGACAATTAGCTCTTACTGAAGCGAAATCAGGCAAAAGGAAATACGCGGAGGGTTACAATCCCTGCAGAGTGCCTAGACTCCGCCTGCTTCCTTCTTTAATTCAACACGTTAAATACCATGTGGGAACCTGGCAGACCTTGGGTTGGCTTGGCCATACGATCTGTCAGTTTCCCATGTGCAGGGGAATAAATGTGCAAGAATAGTGAATACAGATATTGGTCACACGAGAAAGAAAGGAAAAAAAAACAGGCATTGGCACTCAAGATGTTAAACAAGAGGAAAATTAGGAAAACGTAGAAGTATATTCTTTGCAGCGATCTCTAATTCTTCATTTATTAATTTAAAAATAACTAACCCTTCCACAACTGAATGACAGGTCGATATTTTGCACTTACATGATGCTCGATATGGTTTGGATGATGCGTAATAACTGAAAGACTTGAATGTTTCCAATCCGATTAAATTTAGGCCCATTACCACTAAAATACGATACCAGAGGGCTACATAATGAGCTGAATATCATCAGGTGGACTATTATTTAGAATAGTGGATGCCTCAGTGATTATGAATCTTGTGATGACGGACATGCCCGTGGTTCAGGTGAAATATAGGAAGACCTTGATGACAAAAGGCTCTAAAGTATCCTTAAATCCCAATATGAATCCTTTCCTTCCAAAGCAAGCATCTGAGTATTGGTTCATCTTAGATTTCATTGCAGAGATGAAGTTCAATTTTTCTGAGGCGTATTGCTTCGGGGCGTCTTAAGCCTTCATACTTTTCTAATTGTGAACTGGAAATCTCCTTTTTAATGACTGCTAATAATTAATTAATGTTTCCAGAATATGCAAAGGGAGTATCTGCTCTCACGAATGTAGATCCTTGTCTCTCTCGGAGAGGCATTTTAGTCTCCTTTTCGCTCACCTATTCCGATTACGTTAACCGCTACCACGTCTGTAAGCACAGTTTCATAGCCGCTAGCTTAAAAACCCCTCATGGAAAAAAATATTATTTATATTGATAGATTTAAACATTCTGAACAACGAATTGGTATTTCTTGCTTGTCGGGTTATGCATAAATATTCATGCCAAATATTCCAAATATACTGTGTTTATGTTTCCAACACCTATTTGAAGTTTTATCGAAATTTTCCTTTTTCAACACAGGACCAAGTGACTTTTAAAAATAGATTGTCAACAAATAAAGGTAGACGTGAAGCTCCTAATAATTCAAAATTACGAGACTCTACTTGCTTCTGCCTCCAATATAAATTCGGAATAATTCTGTTGGAAACTTCTTACGTTTGGAAAATATCTTAGCCAAAATCATTAATGGGAAATAAATTATGAGATAATTGAGAGTTTGGAGATCCAGTTGAAGCTTCCCGTGTTGCATGATGTAATGTGGCAGTACCACCATGAAGAGAGTATATGGGGGCAGTCGTTTACAATGCGCTTCATGGTTTGAATTTCGCCGTATTGACATGGCGGTGGGTCTTTAATCCGCCATTTGTGAAAAAGATCTGCATGTCTACTGTGAGAAATTGTCATACGGTTGATGTTTGCGTTTGTCCAAAGTTTGCGTCCAAACAAGAAACCAGAAGACTCGGATGATGGGTCCAAGATGAGGCTTTTGTTCTTAACCTCAGCGTCGTTCCATAGTGCTCGTCACTGTTCAATCGGACAGGCGCCAGTGAACCGGAGTGCTTCACCTGCAATCCAGAATAGTCTACAGGACTTAAAGCGCGCGTGTAGTGGTAGGCTGATGTCGTCGTGGAGCGGAATTGATGCATTTCAGAGTGCTTTGTTGTACTCTCGTAGTGTCGCCTCATCGCGCTAGATTAATGGCGGAGCGATGTTGGCGAGTACAGGAAGCCAAGGCAGCGGGGGGCCAATTTGAATGTTCCGCTGCTGCCTTGCTTCAATGCGTGGAGCTGCGTGTCGACCAGATAGGTGTGTGTTTAGGCCCATACTGGTGAGCTATACTAGGCCATGGTCTCGGCCAAAGTCGCTGTTCGGAGGGTTTTGGCATCGCAACTCTATCTAGTTCCAGCTACGAGGTAGCTTGAGGGTGATGCTGACGCGGCTCTTCGTCTTGTTGCTCACCTGTTTGAGGTGTTGTCGAATGGTGAGTGTCCGGCCAGTGTGATCCCCAGGTTGCGCGGGAAGGGATCGTGCTTGATCAGTTCCCCACTGAAGCTGATATAGCCAGCGTCTTCTTTGCATCCTTGTTAGAAAGGTGGAAGGCGCATGATACGGTCTTGGAGGGGATCGGCTTCAGGCGCCAATATCGGAAGTACTCATCCAAAGTTTTGCTGAGTGCAAGCTGATGTATCTATTGAATAGGGATGAGGCCAGGACTGAACCTTGTGGAAGACCATCCTCGAGGCGTTGTTTTTTGCACGATTGTCCGCTGAGATGGCTCACGGTCGGTGAGCATGGACTCTATGAAACGCACCATGCACTTAAAGAAGCAGATGGGACAGCTTCAGTTGGAGTCTTTCCGCCAAAAGGTATCGTAGGCCGATGTGAGATTGACAAAGGCCGCCGTCGATTTCATATTCCTTTGAAATCCTGCTTCAATGTGTGACTTTAGCACTTGGTCACAACAGCTCTTTGCCGGTCTGAATCCTGCCTGTTCAGGTGGGACCACAATCTCTCGAGCAGGTGTGATACGGGTTAGTTGCACGCTCTAGGAGTTTGCAAGCTGTGCAAAGGAGTGATATCGGGCGACAACTCTTTGGGTCGTCGGCTTTCAGGCTTTCGTTATCTAGCCTGAGTGCAAGATATTCGTGAATAGAGCCGCCAACCAATCTCTTACTTTGGGGCCCATATTTTTTAGGGAAAACCGGGAGGATCTGGTAGGCCGCTCTGCCTGAGGTATTGTCGGTGAAGCTGATTGACCTTCCTTTTTTTGGGACATTGTCGATCGCTTTCTCGACGACTTTGGCGAACCAGGGATAGTCTCAGATTTCAACGTGTCTTGGGACGTTGAATATGACTGGTATTTCCAGGCCGAAATGCAGCACGGTTGGTCGACGCTGGTTATGGGGAAAACAGTCCAGGACGGTTCTCCTTGCAGGAAGACGTAGGCTGCTAGCGTCTGTGGAAAACATACCAGAAGTCAGGGGAGTAATCGTTTCTCCAGCAGGTTGATCGGAAAGGAGGAACGTTTCTTTATGTTTGGCGTTAAACTGGAGGCACATGTCCTGCATCGAAGCCTATTTGGTGAGTTGCTTGCCCGCTGCATTAATCACTCGAGGAGTTTCCCCATAGGCTATGGTGACGAGGAATACCGACAGGTAGCTTGGACGGCGGAAGTACCGGCGAGGGCCATTGCCGATTTGGTGGCTGTATATACATGTTTATACGTTGTATATGATCAACTCATCGATTCAGATACCGACCGCAAAGTGCGGTTGGTAGGTACGGGTGGTGCACTAGGTGCGGGTGGTGTAAACTAATTTGTAGTTTTTGTTAGTTATTTATAGGATAAATATTTATCAAAAAACTGAAACAAAAGTCAGTCGGATGATCAGGAAAAGTCTGAACTGAGGAAAAGGAACTCACGTTGATGATCGCTTTATATAGAGACTCCCCAGAGCAATGGGAGTTGGTGGTGGTGGAGGTAGCACAGATGGTTACGTTGACTGTGGGGGTCTCCTCACGGTCAAATCCTTCTGGTTTTTCCACGGTTAGAGCCCTCGTCTGGTTATTCACTTTGAAATCACCCGTATTTGCACCTGCGGACACGTCTTCAACCCCCACCAAACTCATCAAATAATCTCATTCGTTCTCACCAATGCAAAAATATTTTATCTATAACCATGCTAAAATTCAAGTCCAGTAATTGTCTATTTTTCGTTGGTGAATGTGACTGCATCGTGCGATAACACTCAGCATCAGTAATAGGTTACTGAAGAGAACTAAAACGAAGTAGGAATTACATAGAATCAAGGGAGTTAAAATATTTTGATACCTCGCAGCATTTGGATATGCTGAAATTCAATTATTTATGAAGATGTATCGATGGATTAATATACACAGAGTTTAAAAAATAGCTTCAATACATTTTTTCTAGGAATGATAGCTCATTTTATTCGATCGGTCCAATATTTAATACACAGCATGAGGATAGACGAAATAGGGTTCTTGCTGTATTTGAAGGAAATTGACCCAATGTGTCACGTGTTACACCGCTTCAAAATTGAAGGATAAGAAAATGCATTGAGCATCAGGTGCACAGCATCGTCGAAAAAGCAATTTAAGAATGGCTACAATTGTTTCAGATTGCGCCCAGGAATGTGGGAGCCATTTTGAGCATATGCTGTGACAAGAAATCATGGATTTGTCTTAAACTCAACAGGAAACTTCTCTACCTATCAATATTTACAGTTTAATCAATTAGGCTGATCCGATGAAACCTACTATCTACGTATATAAACGACCTATCACAGTTTTTTGGAACACCCGTGTTTCAAAATAAATTTGTTAACTGTTACTGACACACACACCAGGTATGAATTTCCTTCGAACGAGTAAACCTTTTCATTATCAAAATAGGTAACAAAGGAAAAACATCACACCCTCTGCCTCTTTGGCTCTTTGGTAAGGCACGCACAGACTTTCGTTCTCTTCATTGGCTGAGACGAGAGCATCCATTGGCTTGTACGACACCTTTTTTTCCCTTTGAAGTTTGAATTGGCATAGAACGTGATACAATGTGTCAATTTGCTTAACACCAGGTACATCCATTCTTTCCTCTTTCTACATGCAGGTTCATCGTTAACGGAAATGAGTTCGTACCTTTTTTAAAAAAATACCATGCACATTAATCCATTAATACATTTTCACCAAAGAATTGAATTTCAGCATTTCCGATTGCTACGAGCGATCAAAATCATTGAAGACATGAGAAAAGTCAAGAGAGATTCACCTTCAAAAATGTGGAAATTTGGCCCACAGTTGGGTTTAGTTGGTAGGAGTTGGTGTCCCACCCAGGATGTGGGACAATTTTGCCTCAATGTTGCGCTTGCAGGACGTTTTGTGAGGGGGGAGACTCTAGTGTGAATTGGGCTATACATACACCCATTATCGGCCTTTTGACCATGATCATCGTTTCCTATATCGATTGGTATGCTGAAGAACGATAGTAATATTTTCTTCATATATTGAGTACCGCATAAAAAACGCGCCCGGCTTTTTGAGTTTATTTCCAACTTCAAGATAAGGTAAAGTCGTACAAATAATACCAAGTATACATCTGTCTTTCGTCTCTGTCCCATGAAAACTATGGATTTTTCCTTCAAGAATTCATGCGCAGCGGCTGTTCGATGAAAAGGTGTGCACAATTTTCGTACCACGTCTTATCTTATCCAGAAAGTTGGGCAATGACCTCCTTTGGCCTTGCATACGGCACGTAATATCTCTTTTCAACTAGTGGTGGACCTCCTTCAAGGTGATCTCGTACCCGACCTGTTGAATATTGGCTCTCTCCAGCAATGGAGTGATCCGTCATGGTGAAGTCTCTACCGGACTGTGCGCGATATGAAGAGTTTCAAGGTGTCCTAGTTGTACATCCACTCTAGGTGTTCTCTCGAAGCTTGAAATGTATCGTTTTTACGTAGTCGAGAGAAAAGATATATGTATACGTGGTATGTTTCATAGATGTCTGCCTCAGGTGGAAAGTGAGAAATCAGAGTAAAAATCTTGCCGCGTTTTTTATACCCAACTAGATATTTGCGAAGTTCATTTCTGGGATTTTTCCATTTTAAGTGAGCAATAATTTTAAATAACAATCGCTTTTTAAATACTCTGAATTAGCGCAAATACTGCAAAAATATATCACTGATATGGTGAGAAGGATTCTACACTTGTATTTTAGCTAAATCTTTGAATCAGCTCCCGTTATAGCCGTCAGTATATTTTCATATTGTGACCTCACCATTTTCTACATTCAGTATGAAAGACGATGTGGACCTGGAGTTGCAATAAAAAGCCCCTCTGAAAATACTCGCACAAGAACATTAGATCGATGGATCCGTAAAAAAAGCAATGGAGAAAGAAAACTACCAACCCAGCCATTCCTCTGCTCCCACTCCCCTCTATGACGTCACAAGGATGCGCCTTCCTAAACTCGTCTCCCACGCAAGTTAATGAAGCGCCTATTTGCCCGTGTATGGTTGGAAGTCTTTACCCATGAATTATTTCCAGAAAGGGAAGCGTTTCAGACGGAGTTTCAAACAGCCGTTCTAAAATATAAAAAACCTCATAACATGCAAAAGAGAGCCGCTGAGTTTAGGCAAAACTGATTAGCATGTGAAGACCTAGGTCGCAGCCTGTACGGCTCTAATGATTACATTATAAATAGCTCTACCCTAGAATACGGAGCTCATAGGATTTGGCCCAAATTTCTTGTCAAATTACTCTAATACATACTAATAAAAACGGATTTAGTCAAGCCAAAGTCATTTAAAAAAAAAAGTAGAGGACGCACAGTCGTTTCAAGACCCCTCCATTCTATTCAGTCCTAAGATGGCGGACGGTTTGAACCGTCAGCCCCTGCTTCATGCCCGCTCAAAAAATGTATGCCCTATGGGTTATACGTATATGCAAAAATGAAAATTCAAACTCATGCCATTTATTTCATAATAATTATCAGCGAATCTTGTAGATAATAGCTATTTATTTGTGATAGAGGATTCATTTAGCGAAAAAATTTGTTAGCTTGGGTACTTAAGTTTCGCCTAGTATTGAGGTGTCCATATCGTCAACGAAGAAAATAATTCTCAGTAAATTAAGACCATTCACGGTTCTGGAAATTACACTTTTTAAAAAAATAGTTTTAAATGCCTATCTCTGCAGAATTCATTCAATGGCTCGACAGAGATTTTGAAGAATGTGAGGGCAGCATGCGAAGACATCATTTTGGCATGATTGGTTCATTTTAATTATCTGATTGGAAAGAAAGTTCTCGGAATTTCTTGAATATCCAGTACAATTTTTTTCCAGAGCATGCTAGAATGTTCTGCGTGTGTTTATAAGTAGGTCGTGTCCTTCGGCATACAACCGTATATTATTACAGCCCTGGTGCTCTCCAGCCATGAACCAGCCCTACCCTCTTACTAAGGAGCAAGTTCGCCTGCTTCTTCTTTATGACTTCNACGTTGGCGTGAAGTGATAGAGGCCAATGGTGATTACATTCATGATTGAGATGATTTTGCTTTTAAATAAACTTGGTTGTAATAATTGTTCATGAAATTCCGAGAACTTTCTTTCCAATCAGATACAGTGTCAGAAGCATTCAGTAGAAACAATTAGCGCATTTACTACAGTATTATTTGAATTGTAGTACAGTCGTATGAGTGCGTTTGAATTTGTCAGGAAAATAAATATGAGAAAAAATAAAATACCATGAATGAAATAGGCGACAATGATATCCATCCCATCTGGATCAACGGCTTCAGGTATCGACCCCACATTTCCGTTTGTGTTTTCGTTGATTCCATGTGTTCCTTCAAATTCCTTGAATACAGGAGGATCTTCGTCGACGTCCTCAATGAATATGGTGAAACTTCGATCATTGGACATTGATGGTTGTCCTTTATCCCGCGCTCTAATTTTCGCCTTTCATCCATTGTGGAGCACCAAAGCAAATAAATAATTAAAAACGCATGCAATTGAAGTAGTCAAGAACATATAACACAATGAATAATGAGGTGAGTAGGTCACCAGGCTTCAGATGAAGTGCAAGGAAATTGGAAAATACATGCAGGGTATGGCAAGAAAAAGCCTTAGGTTTTTTTACCTGAACATCTCTGCTCACATTGGAACTATTTTCGAGAAACATTCAGTATACATACATGAGTATGTTTCCAACTCATTATTTGAATATCCGAGTTTTTGAATCGAAGTTGTGTTAAACCTTTATTGGACCAAACGGAACTTAAGTTCCAGTTTAAATACAGGCGCTATCGGACCAATGGGAACTTAAGGTATAACACGAAAATCTCCATTTGTTTTCTTTACTATGCTTTCATTTCAATTTTTTATTGTTTTCAAGAAACTGACGTAAATTCGAAAGTCGGCGAAACGTTATTTAAATGTCTTAAATTAAATCGGTCCGCCAACCCCTGAAGCTCTGATTTGAATACGGTACGGTAATTATTTAAATAGGAATTATTGAAAATAATTAAGACATTGAGAGTGGACAGGAGCTCCTACTGGTTGTGGGAAGGAGGGTTATTGAGTGCTGTCATTCCCTATCATGGAAACATCGCCGAACTCTTCTTCTGTTTAATTAATTCTTTGAGCTGGTCCTATCTTCCAGATGGTTTTAATGAGCTTATTCCTAATAAATACTAGATGAATAAATGATTTTCAATCCTAAGGTCTTTCATGGAGTAGAGTTAGAATTTCCCTTCATATTTTGAAGGAATAGTCAATTTTACATGTTAAACTTGTCATAGCATATCCACATACATATCCAAGCACATTAGAGGGTAATCTGTCCATGGGTGTTCGAGAAAAAGGAGATCTGCACGAGTTGCTTTTTCGAAACCAACCCGTTCGGCCCGATTCATTTCTCATCTCGCTAATTCAAGAGACGCCATTGATTCATTCAGACTCAATGAAAGAACTCGAAATAAGGCACGGGAGAAGGGAAACGTAAGCCTGGGAAATAAATTAGCTGATTTTTAGTACAGTATGATGACGATATAATGAAAAATAGCAAAAGGATTCATATTGCATCAGCATTTAATGAAGCGAAAGAAATTCGTATTGTGATAATTGTCCATTTTTGTTGAGCAGAGTCTGAAATTAGGTTCAACACAAATTCTCTTTCGAAATCAACCCCGAGATAGGGACAGAGCTTTCAATGGCTACTTATTTCACTATTGAAGTTGGACGGATTCCTTGCCCGTTTTCTTCGATATGCCGTCGCATGGGATGGAAAGTGCCGTAATCTTTTTTAAAGCGCTTTTGATTAGAATGTGAATCTTAAAATATTATCACAACGCGGAATTTGCACGTTGGCTATGTTAAAAAAGAAGAAAATCAATGTTGATTGCGGGACAGTATGTTAGAAGCAAGAAGAGTGCACCAACCGTGTAATTGGCGCTGATAGTTCTGTTCAGCTTCTGCTTGAGCTTGAAGGAAGTTTTCCCATATCCCCGATCTACTAGCTCATAGTACTGATACTCTGCAAGAAGAAACTCAGTGAGACAAACCTGCATATGGCACTGAAAATGTAGGAAGGATCTCTTGTTTTGTGTCGTGCTGCAACCGGTTTTTTATTAGATTTTTAGCGTTTCTTTCGCAACAAATCATAACTATTGGGTGTTAACATAAGTAGTGTCCGTTTTTTCAAATTTAAAAATGTGTGCCAAAAGTAAAACACATTGGCAAAGGTTATACGTCATTTGAAAGAACATTTTCTGCTCCACAAGATATTGTGTTTGCCTTTAGTTACATTTATTATTTTATTTAATTACAGGTCTTCGAAATGGAATGTCAAGTAGACAAAAGTGAGCACTTTCGACACCTCCTTCTGTTCGCGTTCAATCAAGGGAATAAAGCTGCTCAAGCTGCTCGCGATATTTGCGCAGTGTACGGTGAAGATGCTATGAATGAAAGGACAGCTCGTCGATGGTTTTCGCGTTTCAAAGACGGTAATTTCAACCTGAAGGACATGGAGCGTTCCGGACGACCAGTGGAATTCGATGAGGACCGTTTAAACCAGCTTATTCATGAAGATCCCCGTCAAACCACCGTAGAATTGGCTGAGCAGATGGATTGCAGTCACATGACCGTATACCGCCATCTTCAGTCAATGGGAAAAGTCCAGAAGTTCGGTGCTTGGGTCCCACATGTTTTGAGTGAAAACAACAAAAATCAACGTTCGACAATTTCTGCTGCTTTCCGTTGCTTCATATTCACATAAAGGCACCATTTTTCACCAGTAATGATGCGGTAAAGAAACCTTTGCTTGTGGCCATGCGTAGCTCGATGACGCGCGAGCAAACCAGCAGAAATTGTCGAACGTTGATTTTTGTTGTTTTCACTCAAAACATGTGGGACCCAAGCACCGAACTTCTGGACTTTTCCCATTGACTGAAGATGGCGGTATACGGTCATGTGACTGCAATCCATCTGCTCAGCCAATTCTACGGTGGTTTGACGGGGATCTTCATGAATAAGCTGGTTTAAACGGTCCTCATCGAATTCCACTGGTCGTCCGGAACGCTCCATGTCCTTCAGGTTGAAATTACCGTCTTTGAAACGCGAAAACCATCGACGAGCTGTCCTTTCATTCATAGCATCTTCACCGTACACTGCGCAAATATCGCGAGCAGCTTGAGCAGCTTTATTCCCTTGATTGAACGCGAACAGAAGGAGGTGTCGAAAGTGCTCACTTTTGTCTACTTGACATTCCATTTCGAAGACCTGTAATTAAATAAAATAATAAATGTAACTAAAGGCAAACACAATATCTTGTGGAGCAGAAAATTTTCTTTCAAATGAAGTATAACCTTTGCCAATGTGTTTTACTTTTGGCACACATTTTTAAATTTGAAAAAAAACGGACACTACTTATGTTAACACCCAATACTTCAGGGTTTTTTCAAAGCAGTTACAAACTTGGACATTGGGAGTATTTCTCATTAATTAATGTATGAATGTCAATGCACTTTAACCGGTGATCACTTGCCTCGCCGAATGATGACGCACCGAATTCAATTCCTCGACTACAACTCGCCGAACTCCTTGAATTACATACTGGCTATAGGACGCTCCAAATATTCAATTTGCTAATTGAATAAAAGATTGCAAACGACTTTTGCGTGGAATAGGTAGCCGAAGTCGTCAACACCTGAACGAAGTTTCAAACCATAATCTTATTAGTTTTGAGGAAGGGTGACAAGGAACATTGAAACCATTCAACGTTTTGCCGAAAAAATCATATTTTGTCAATTCATCGTCAATCACAAACATGTCAAAAATAATAATATGCAATGTTCCTGAAGAGCTTGGGAAATCCAGCTCCTTGTATCCGGAAAACACAATTTTCAATCTGCCTTTCACCCGACATTTATTTTTGGGCATGGGAAACTGATGCTCAGCCCCAAGGCGCTCCGATAGAGCTGCAATAGAAGCTTCTTCCCGTTGAAGCTTTAAAAGCCAGGACTCGCACCGAAAGATGGGCTTTGTTCATCGAGCCGCTGAAAGCGTTGCGCCAGCCCCCATGGAATTGTTGGTTTCCTGGGAGGACCAGTAACAATACGCTAGTACTGCAACAACAATGAAGGGGGAAGCAGACTCTGGCTGCAACAACCTCCTCTTTTAACATTTCGAATATAGTTGGACTCGAAATAGGGAAAAATCGAGTCGAGCTTTCGTAGGAAGCCTAGGACATCAGTCAGGGCCTCGAACGCTTGAATTATATTCCCTTCAGGGACAACTTCCAGTGCAAGGAAGCATCCCTTACAAAAGTCCACCTCCCATATGGATTTGGAACCACCCTAGTAGCACATGTAATTGAATCAACATTGAATCAATGTTGTTTCAATTCTATGTGCTAATAGGGCAGGTGGATGTCCCTGGAGGCGTTATTTCCAAATGTTGCAGCGATGTCCACTTAAGCGATGTCCTGGCTTGGAATAAATGTGCGCGAATGGATAGGTGGATTTCAACCGGGGCGGGGGGGGGGGGGGGGGGGGGGAGGGTGGGGGGGGGGGGGGGGGTGGTGGGCGGGGGGGGGGGGGGGGGGGGGGGGGGGGGGGGTGACGTCCACCTGGTTCCAAATACACCCCCTAACCACCTAGTTGTTTGACAAGGATGATAGTGGGTGGACGTTTGTTAGGAAAATGAACCATGAAGAAAACTCTATGTCGTCAGCGTAGCGAGATGCAAGAAGCCTGATTCCAAATCAGGCTTCTTGCATCTAGTGCAAGATGCTCTGAGCAAGACGGTAAGAATAGCCTTTTAGAGTGGCGCACGAGTGTAACGTGGCATATCAGACCACAACTTAATCAACATAGTAATCAAGATCAATTCACGATGATGACTAAAGAGTATAGCCGAGACGGAGTGGAAAAGAAGAAAGGGGTTTCATCCCCAACAAAAGATTTGAAGTATCCCTTATGGTCCCGTAGTTTGCCTAAAGTCCGATTCAGTGACAAGCGTCTGAGAGAAGGATACGTTATTTTCTTTCGAGTCTAAGGTGTATTTCCGGTTAGGTGCAAAGGACATTGATTGGATAAGGGATTAAGCCTGGGGTAAATCTTTATCTAAGATCCGTAAAGACTCAAAGTCATATCATTTTTTCTGTATCTGAGACGGACCGGTTCTTTTTCTGTCCATTAAGGTTATTATTTTATTTTAGATTTTTAAATTTCTCTTTTGAAACAGCCCTCCAAGGGTCAATATTACATAACTTTTGTGTTCTCTTTTCTTCATTTAAAGTGATTAAATTCTTATAATAAATCTGTTAATCAGACTCGGTGTGGTGATACTCATTCTCCAACTTGAACAGGCACGAATCTCTCTCACCAAAAGGAGTTCGCGGCATTTTGTACGGTGCGGGACGTTGAGAGATCTTAAAGGTAATTTTTCTAAGGAAAGTTGAATTACCTGAGATATAAGAAACATAAGAAATTAGAACAAATGGGTCGTTTCTTTGTATATATTTTGATTGCTTAATACAATCTGACCCACAGAACCGCTGACGGCAGGTTGACATAGGCTGCCGCCTCAAAATCAAACATGAAACTTTATGGAACGAGGTCCTTGGGACTAGCGTCGGAGATGTGCAAAAGCAATGCCCTATATATGAACTGACGATTTTATCTTTCAGCAAAACAGAGACACATGACAAAGCTGTCGACTTCTACATTAGATCATATAAAGTGCATAGTTGAGTATAACCTGGTGGAGCAATGTTAAAAGTTCCATCAGCGAACAAGTGATCGACTGCAGCAACGACGGACGATGCTCGCTCTGATGCGAATACAATAATTTCGAGGGAATTAATCCGGAAGCGCTGACCCTCGGTGGTGCACTGTGGACACCGGGGAATGATGCGCACGCCATCTTCGTTGGCTGCATCATCTAGTTGTCGCCGTCACTTTTCAGGAGTCAGGAGTCAGGAGAGTTAGTGATATCAAGAGGCGATTTCGCCCATTTCGATATCACGTGTCGAGGTCGAGCGTTCCTTAATTTTAGGGCAGGCCTAACCCTCTTAAAGCTAAATATTTTTGTATTTTTGTTTTGTTTTGTTTTTTTTTTT